AGGCATGTCACAGGCCCTTAACAGTTAAAAATCTGACTTATTTATATTTTCAGTAATTTTCAGTTATTTGTATTTTCAGTTCCAGGCTGAGTCATTTCTACCTTCTCCTCTCTGTCAACGCTCTCTGGTTTCATTTAAAAGAGTCGATCATCAGATATTGTCCAAGATTAACCTTCAGGGTGGATATAGCTCGCTCACACCGAGGACCTATCCACATCATCTTTTACCCAGAATGCTTTGTGTGTAAATAAAATGGCTCTGTCTGTGTTAAAATATATTTTTAAAAATGATAAAAACCAAACAGCCTACAGTATTTTTACAGTCTTTATTTATAGTTAATATATATGTTTATCAAATAAAGTCTAATGTTACAACTAATCATGGATCCCTTTAAAACTTTGTTTCTCCGCAGAAGATGGTCTTAGTTTAAAATTTTTGTCACAAAAGGCAGTGGGTGATGTGCAATCCCTTAATGAACATGAGTATTTTAAATTTATTGAATAAATACTGACACGGTGGAACCCGTTGTGTGTTTTTGTACGCATGAATTCAAAAATACTTCTATAACCTGGTAAAGACTAGATCATTTTTATTAGAAATGTTATTTGTTACGAGGATGGACTTGTGTTTTCTCTCCGTGACTGCAGACTCACATGGTTCATGTAGTTGCTTTTCCTCTTCTCGCGCACTGGAACAAGAGAAATAAACTAAGAACAGACAGAACAGAGCAACAACTCAACGTCGTCTTTGGAGAAACACCAACCATCTGTTTGGGACTTATTGAGGAAGAGGGTGCTGGCTCTGGGGTGGTCCGATGGGTTCACCTCCTGGGCCAGTTCTGTTTGCAGAAAACATGGTTTATTTGGATACTAGGGGTGTAAGAAAATATCTATACACTGAAATATCGCGATATTTCATTTCCTGATACTGTATCGATATTCTAAAGCCCTGTATCGATTTTTAATTAAGBTTTAAAACGTCAACTTTCCTGCCAGCCGTTCATTTTTATGTTGTAGTTCAGCCTCTGACCACTAGTTGGCAGCAGTGAGACAGCCATTTGGCTACTCTACCTCTTGAGTGTCAGAGAGTAAGGGTAGCATTAGCATTGTAAGTAAATATTAGCTTTTTTTTTTTTCAGTAAGAGGTTTTTATGTAATAGAATTTTTGGACAAAAAATCGCAATATGTCACAATATATCGCCTTGCTTACAGTATCGCAATATATCGGGTTATATCGTATCGTGACCCCTCTGTCATGATATGTATCGTATCGCCAAATTCTTGCCAATACACAGCCCTATTGGATACGCAAAACAGCACAAAACAAAACTAAAAAGTTGAATGTAAGAGGAGTGCACCGTCAGGGAGCTCCCGGTCACTGATGTGCTGCAGGTAGGTCCCAGTGTCCTCGCTCACGTCCTCGGTGGTGGTGATGGGACACTCGTCCAGGTCCACGCGTCTCCGGAGGATCTTCGGACTCTCCCCGGGGGAGATGCAGCAGGACACCGAACCCCCCATGACTGACTACAGCCACAGCTGGCTCCCATACAACTTGGGGGGGGGGGGGGGGGGGCTCCTGCTGACAGCACTGCAACTTCAGGGGAGGGGGGCAAAGTTCAGACCTTTAAGGATAGGTGGGGGGGGGGGACTTTCAAAACAATGCAGAGCTTCTACTAAACAGATTTAAAGCAGCATCATGGAGGTGTTTACCTACATAAGTAACTAGTTCAGGTAAAACAACAAGCCAAGCTGCAGAGGGTCAGCATCCAGCTGCAGAGCAGGATGGGATCAATAAGGACAGGCAGGAGAGGGGGTCTGCAGCCTGAGCAGGACAGCTGACATGTTCAGGGCGTGTGCGCCGCTCGCGTGGATTTGGACTCGTTCGGGACAGCGGAATCAGTCACAACTCATTTTACTGCGTGGAGCCCAGCATGACGAAGACAAGCCACGAGCTCCTCTTTTCTCCCTCCATGCCATGGCCAACAAGCCCCCGCCCACCCCACCGCACCTCAGTCCATGACTCTCTTCTTCTTCTTCTCCTCAACCCCCCACGTCTGTCGGCGGAGTGGATCAATCCATTTCCACTGCAGCTGAAGACTCTCTGCGTGTCACAGTTTCAGGCTTTCTCTGCCGAACCAAGCTGTCCGACGAGCTCAACACCTGGAGGAACTCCTGAGAGCCGACTGAGCGGAGAACAAGAGGTTGTTGACAACACGGCTAAAGTCCATCGCGTTCGCATTTACTGGGACTCACGTCTCGAGCGTCAAGTCGATGCTTGCTAGCGGCTAATACAGCCGGCTACTTCCGGGGTTTGACTTTCAAAATAAAAATCCAAACATGGAAAATGACGTCGAGTGAAAACAAAACCGATTTTAAACATTTCGATTAAAAAAATTAAGCTTAGCAAAGAACTGTCTATGTTTTTAACTGGAAGTTTAGTTTTGTCTGGTGAACAGAATAAACTGAAATGACTCCAGAAGTTATTTACTTGTATCAATGTACCCACACTTCCTAAAGTAAAACCTGTCCAGTGGTTTGTTGGTTATTTTCCTAGACAAACAGGGTTGACTCAAAATGTCCTGATGCATCTCAGTAACCCAGGTAAAAAAAAAAAAGAAAAAAATTGTATAGGTCTTCTGGACGGGTTCTTCTCTAATGAAACGTTTCGTCTCTCCTCCAAGAGACTTCTTCAGTCTGAGAGTTTCAGGCAAAATTCAGGCTTTTAAGCCCTGCCTCCATGTGACTGATACTCACATCACATGGCTATCGTTGACACCTAATTAACACTTATTGTTAACAGGAGGTGGAGTGAACAGGACAATGGCTGCGCTGTAGGAGGGGGACAACTGAAAACGGAAGCCTCCACCTCTGTTTAGTGATGGACGGTCTTTCTTCACAAAAATGGCTTCTTTTACTTCTCTCAAACCAACGTTCCTCTCTATCAAGAATGAGAACATCCTCATCTCTGAAAGAGTGACCGCTGGCCTGTAAATGAGTGAAAACTGCAGAGTTCTGGCCATTAGACGTAGCTCGTCTGTGTTGGGACATTCTTTTGATCGGGGAAACAAAGCAGCCACTGTTCAAAAGAATGTCCCAACACAGACGAGCTACATCTAATGGCCATAACTCTGCAGTTTTCACTCATTTACAGGCCAGCGGTCACTCTTTCAGAGATGAGGATGTTCTCATTCTTGATAGAGAGGAACGTTGGTTTGAGAGAGGAGTAAAAGAAGCCATTTTTGTGAAGAAAGACCGTCCATCATTAAACAGAGATGGAGGCCTCCGTTTTCAGTTGTCCCCCTCCTACAGCGCGGCCATTGCCAGTATCACTCCACCCCCTGTTAACAATAAGTGTTAATTAGGTGTCAACGATAGCCATGTGATGTGAGTATCAGTCACATGGAGGCAGGACTTAAAAGCCTGAATTTTGCCTGAAACTCTCAGACTGAAAAGTCTCTTGGAGGAGAGACGAAACGTTTCATTAGAGAAGAACCCGTCCAGAAGACCTATACATTTTTTTTCTTTTTGACTCAAAAGGTTAATAGTCCATAATTTAAGCAAATGTGTGTCTAATCATTTACAGATGCAGTTGTTTATTCTCAGCTACTACCACACCGATTTTTCCCCCGATATCTGTAAAACTGACTGAGTTACAACCATTTTTGTGTTTTGAAAGGTGGCAGCCATACTGAACCAGACCAAAGGTAATCAGTTATAAAGGTACCCAAAAATTAATTTCTGAAAATTTCATTAGAATTCATGGAGTGGTTCATGACATATTTTGCAAACAAACAGGATTGACTCAAAAAATAATGGACATAATTTTAAGCAAAGCTCTGTTGAGCTCAGTCAGTGCTTAGTGTATAGGTTGCTCAGTCAACATACCAAATCTTAGCTCATTTTACAACAAACTTACTGAGTTGTAGCTAGTTTTGGCTGATTAACTGATATGCTATGAAATAACTTAACAAATGACTGGAAAAAAGTAAAAACTCCCAGATGCAACTGAATTTCTTTATGTAACTGAGCAGACGTCTGTCTTGCAATGGGGGGGGGGAAGAGATTAAAAGATTAGGCTTTTATTTCTAAAGTGTAACAATCCTGAGCAAACGGAAGTTACTTTTCTGATCTTCTCGCCATCTTTACAGCACGAGTAAACGTACAAGACCACACCTCCTTCAGCCACTACTGCCCATTACAAACACCGGTGTTTTGATTGGTCAATTCCTTTGAAGCTGTAAGCTGATTGGCTTAAATTGATGATTGATATGCGGAGATTCAGGAAGCTCGATGAAATCGTGGCGCTGAAGGGAAATAAGTGTTCTGGTGCTGATATATATATTTATATCACCTAAATACTTAAATTAATAATGAGCGAAGCAGAAAGTATGACAAAATAAACAAGTTTCAACTAATTACAATGTCGGAAATATTATATGTCTAATACCCAGCAGGTGGCGGTAGTGAAGAAGAAACCAAACGAGCGGATATAATAAATATTAATAGAAGAAATTTAAGCATGGCTCTTGTTCCTTATGTACAGAATCCGTTACCTGTTCTTTCCAAATTCCACAATTCATCGGCGGAGTTCCGTTTCGCAAACCGTGACCTCCGTCTAACACAGGACTGGAAGAAGCTCGGTGTAGCAGCAGTGGTGTGGGATGCTGTAAGTGACATTATTTTTGGTGGCATAAAATCGACAATAAATGTAATTCAAACATCTATAACCCACTGTCTCCCCTCCGCAGGCTGTTGTGATGTGTATGTATCTGGAGCTAGGAAAAGTGGAGTTAAAGGGGAAAAGGGTCATTGAACTGGGAGCAGGCACTGGATTAGTCGGCATTGTGGCAGCTCTGCTGGGTAAATATCAGCATGAAAAACACAGTGGAGTACGGAAGCCGAGAGAGGACCTGCGTCCAACGCTGAGAGCTAAATGACTGCTGTAGTTTATGGAAGATGCTAAAACTGAGTTGTCAAAGACAAAAGAAGTAGCTAGAAGCTGATGATTTAACATTAGCTAAAATATAAAATAAAATGTTTGCTAAAAGTAACTAAAGGCTAGCTGTAAGCTAATGTAGCAAAGCTAATGTAAAATAGTAAAAATATATATTTCAATTTCTCAAATATCTTGAGATAATGCTTGTTTTCCTTAGACGTTATCTCATAATTTCATTATATTGAACCTTGTCCTTTAGTGACTTGTAAATATTTACTTAAATAAAAAAAACATTTTTTAATGTAATAACTAGAAATTCACTCAAAATTGTAATTAAATGAGAAGAGTAGTATGAAGTCCAAGAGGACACGGATAAGCTAAAACCAGCTTTAATATGTCAACATAAGTTTATTATTATTATTGTTATTGTTATTATTATTACAGTTGTTTAACCAGGCCATTGAGATCACAAATCTCTTTTCCCACCTATTGTACATGTTTTTGGGGGTGTGGGGGAAACCCAGAGACCCCAGGTCTGAAGTGGGAATCGAACCCAGGACCTTCTTGCTGTGAGGCATCAGTGCTAACCGCTGATCCATCGTACTGCTAAGTAACCTCTGAGGCCTCACAGCGAGTTGAAAATAAAATGACCAGATTAAAGTATTACTACATCTCTCTCGGTTTCAGCTCCGCAAAAAAAAAAAAAAAAAAAAACACCACAGTTCCAGTTTAAAACCTGACGGAGCGGTTCTGCCCTCCACAGGTGCTCATGTGACCATCACGGACCGAGAACCTGCTCTGGATTTCCTCTCCGCCAACGTGGAGGCCAACCTGACCCCAGCACCCCAGCAGCCGGTGGTGGTCTCGGAGCTGACCTGGGGCGTGGCTCTCGAGCGCTACCCCGCCGGAGGGTTCGACCTGGTCCTGGGAGCCGACATCATTTACCTGGAGGACACGTTCCCGTCTCTCATCCGAACTCTGGAGCACCTGTGTTCCGACGCCACCGCCGTGCTGCTGGCCTGCAAGATCCGCTACGAGCGAGACACGAACTTCCTGAGCATGCTCAAGCGTGGCTTCCACGTGGAGGAGGTCCACTACGACCAAGAGAGGGACATCCATTTATACAGGGCACGCAAACTGCCAACCAGGAGGGATTTATGATCCAAAAGATGTCCTGATGCATCTCAGTAAACCATGTAAAAAAATCAAAAAGAAAAAAATTGTATAGGTCTTCTGGACGGGTTCTTTAATGAAACGTTTCATCTCTTCTTCCAAGAGACTTCTTCAGTCTGAGAGTTTCAGGCAAAATTCAGGCTTTTAAGCCCTGCCTCCATGTGACTGATACTCACATCACATGGCTATCGTACCTAATTAACACTTATTGTTAACAGGGGGTGGAGTGATGCTGGCAATAGCCGCGTTGTAGGAGGGGGACAACTGAAAACGGAGGCCTCCATCTCTGTTTAATGATGGACGGTCTTTCTTCACAAAAATGGCTTCTTTCTCTCAAACCAACGTTCCTCTCTATCAAGAATGAGAACATCCTCATCTCTGAAAGAGTGACCGCTGGCCTGTAAATGAGTGAAAACTGCAGAGTTCTAGCCATTAGACGTAGCTCGTCTGTGTTGGGACATTCTTTTGATCGGGGAAACAAAGCAGCCACTGTTCAAAAGAATGTCCCAACACAGACGAGCTACATCTGATGGCCAGAACTCTGCAGTTTTCACTCATTTACAGGCCAGCGGTCACTCTTTCAGAGATGAGGATGTTCTCATTCTTGATAGAGGAACGTTGGTTTGAGAGAGGAGTAAAAGAAGCCATTTTTGTGAAGAAAGACCGTCCATCATTAAACAGAGGTGTAGGCCTCAGTTTTCAGTTGTCCCCCTCCTACAACGCGGCTATTGGCAGTATCACTCCACCCCCTGTTAACAATAGGTGTTAATTAGGTGTCAACGATAGCCATGTGATGTGAGTATCAGTCACATGGAGGCAGTGCTTAAAAGCCTGAATTTTGCCTGAAACTCTCAGACTGAAGAAGTCTCTTGGAGGAGAGACGAAACGTTTCATTAGAGAAGAACCCGTCCAGAAGACCTACACAATTTTTTTCTTTTGATCCAAAAGATGGTTAACAAGCATGTAAAATTAGCAGAAATGTGTTTATTACAGCTGCCAAAAATATCATATTGTATAGCTCAAACATAATCCACTGTTTTATACATGTTGACTTACATAAATTGTGAATAAAAAAAAACTTAATACATGACTACATAATACCAAAAGAGTACAAGATGGCATTCATGAAAATATTAACTTTGTTCGTTACTTTTTTTTTTTTTTGGTCACATTTTACAATCCTGTCTTCAGGGTGCATGATGATAAATGAGCAATAAAACTATTTCTTTTCCAGTAAAACCTTTTCTGTTGAGTAGCTTTGAAATGTTCTTGGATTGTAAATGCAAAGAATTGCACGCGCCGTTTTTCCCTAAAAACATTTTGGAGACAGACTTGGCAGAAAAGACTAGTTTTGGATTTTAAAACACAACAGCCTCCAAATCACAATGTTGCTCTTTTTTTTCCACATGTTATACAGAATTAAGATTTAATTTGTGAATAACCCTGTCAGTGATCTGGCGTGTCACTGGAGATCATTTAAAAATATAAAAGGAACATTTCTGTCACAGAAAAAGTATTAAGGCTCATAGTTCTGTGTGTGAAACAAACAGGTGGGAAGAGTTTGGGGGTATTTTTTTAAAAATAATGAAATAAATATTAAAAAGTTTGCTTAACCGTTTTTTCTGTTTTTCTCACCAGGTAAAATTGAAATCAGTCTTAAAGTCTTGAATCTCGTCTCTATCTTGGTTTAAAAAAATGGTATTTAAGATTTTGTGTTTTCCAAATTCACAGGAAGTGAAAAGCTGCATTTAACATGTATTCCTGTTTGATAGTAAGCCGGTTCAGTTGTAAAACAATTAAAATAAAGCATTATAACTTAGAACATACACCACCAATAAAGAAAAAGCTGTGACGTCGTTTAAAAATGCAAACAAAAACAAAATATTCATTTGCAAATCTCGTGAACTCACAAAAGTCACAATGGAACATTATAAACATACCACACACTGAAAATATGTAATTGTTTCATTTAAAAATAATAATAATAAAAGGTCATTTTTGGTCTCCTTAGTTATTAAATTAGAGCCCCGAGGAGACATCAAATTGTGGGTTTTTTTGTTTTGTTACCTTGCAATAGTTTTAAACATCACAATCAACTTCCCTAATGCATGGTGACACATCCCGTTTCAGTAACAGGATATTTCAAAATAAAACTTACTCAATACAGTTAAAACAAAACATTACATTTAACTCAAGAACACAAAACCGTTGCGAGGTAACAAAAGAAAAAAAAACCCTGATGTCTCCTCGGGGGCTCCATACCAGATATTTACATACTCTTCAATGAAACGAGGACGTCAAATCTTTTATTTGAGTTTACTCGCTGTGGCAACCCCACAGGACGGAGCAGCTGAAAGAAAAACAGCTATAGGTTAGGCTTCGGTGGTGTGACAGTTGTAGTATACCTTGGTATTCAAATATGGTGACAGTGTTTAAAAATGACGACAGTATATTAACCCTCTGGAGCCTGGTCACATGACGTATTTAAATTTCTCTGCGACTCTTTACGATTGGGTCAAAGTAGAGAAAAAGCTATACACCAGTTTTTAAATTGTGTCGATAAGCTAAATAAAAATGAGGTTGTGATAAATAGCACACGCCACTTTTTCCTGAACGTGACCGAAACGAGGTTTCATGGGGAAAAAGCAAAACTAAACAAAAAAACTGCTCAATCCACCATCAATCTCATCCTTTTCTTGAGCCGCAAAAACAAAAGACCCCTGACCTCCACTCTGACCGAGGCCCAAAGTTATTTGACAAGCGTCAAAAACTCCACAGGAAGAAAAAAAAAAAGACGTGAAATTTGAATGAAGTTCGGTGACGAAAGCGGGATGGACCGTACACCCCTTACGCCCCGCCCCTTTCTACCCTGCTAATACCATTAAGACCATGTACCGTGGTATTATCTAAAGATAATACGTCGGTATGAAAACCATCATTAGCGCCCAACACGGCTATAGGCTCTTTCATAAAACAGTTCTGTAAAAACACTGCTAAATGCGTGATGGACGTCTACTCGGCATCATTTTCAAAACATAATAAATTAACTCAACTTAGCGATTCTTTTTGTGATTAACTAGTATTTTCTGTAACAAAGTTGCTTCCTCTGGTAGATCTGTTTTATTCTGCGACTGCTGGGTCGCCTACATCATCACATTACTGACCTGTTTATCAAATATCGTCCGTTTCATCTTTCTAACTTCGCTTCGAGAGACAAAGGTGCAGCACGAGTGGGTTGATTCGACCCCCCTCCCAGTCTCGTTTCACTCAGAAGGTCCAGGACTGAGGTGTCTTGTGAAACAGCCTAATATTCTAGGTCTGAGGTTTGCAAACCAAGCATTCTGTTAAGATTTGCTTTTTAAACAACGCCACAACTTTTTTTCAGACTTAGGGTTGTCATAAACAAAACAAAGGTCAAAGATAAAATGTCCAAAACCCAATCTACAGTTCAAAGTGTAATGAAGTAACGTGTGTTATTAACGCAAGAGCCACAGAAGATAAATGTTGCAAGCAAAGGTCCAAATTATCCAAGCATGAGCTCCGTGTTGGGTGGCTGCTGGTGATGTTACCCAGTGGAACCAGGCAGGCACCAGTGACTGGAATGCTTCCCTGTGTGGTGTTAGAAGAAGAACAGTTCAGGGGTTTTTTTGTTACTTCACCACAAAACAGTTCGAAGTCTTCGCCGTGTGTGTTCGGAACGCCGCCACGTCCGTTTATGGAGAAAAAACGATGAGACTCTTGAGTCATTTCACAAAATTACCAGCACTTTAAAAAAAAAAAAGAAAGCAGAAAAGTAGAAAAAGAGGAGTGGCTTCCAGATGCTCTGAGTTGAGTCTGTACGTAGGGGTAGAGCCTGCCAAGCCCCGCCCCTCCCCGGCAGGTGCTTTTTACTCAGACTTGTGACAGTACAAGTCTTTAAGGGCTTTGAGTTCCTCAATAAGGGTTTTGTTTTGGTTCTCCAGGACGGCCACACGGTTCTCCAGACACTTGACGTACTCCTTCTTCTTCCTACGACACTCTCGGGCCGCCTCTCTGCCAGACACAAAGAACAGATCCAAATCAAAATGGATTAAACTGGAGAATTTATTGGATTTACAGCACAGAAAATAAGAGTGTCCAAGTCAAAGTTAGTAGCTTGTACCTCAGTATGAGGATCACTGTTTAACCCACAGGTCAAGGA